AGGTCAAATGTCCGTGTGACACAGACTCCAGTCAAGCGATGACATGACAATGCATCGATCAGGTACCCGAGGAACCTCATCTCCCACCTTGTAACTGAACACACACCGCTGTACAAGACACCAAACAAAAGCCGGGTTATAGCTCCCGCCGTGCACCCCGGATCTTCTCGCTGTTCGATCGCCGTGATGTTGAGAAGATGACTTGTAGGGCGAGGACGTGATTCGAGTCTGGTTGGTTTTTTGTTTCTGTAGCCATCTCCTGGTATTGCATGAAGCTCCTGGGCCCAAAGATGCTTATCACGGTTCATGTAGGTAGACTTTGTCGAAGTTGTTGAAGAGTGGCCAACGAACGAGAGAAGTTCTGCCACGAGCAAAAGTAAATCTCCTTGGCCAAAGTCTTTCCTCAAGCGGCGGGACTGCTGGAGCTGATCATCTCTTCCTTCCACCACTTGTTTCTGTAGATATGATCAAATGCTCGTTGCATATCAATTTTGTCCAGCCTGTCCTCATTCTTGTTGTACAGAGGCGTGTAAATACCCATCGAAACCCTCCGCAGAGGCGCGTAGACACGCATCCCCAACCTTTGCATCATTGCGTAGATTGTTAGCACCCATTTTCCCACCAGTTGATGATGAATAACTATCGCCCATAGAATGAAAGTAGCAACGGTGAGGGGGATGGCGAGTATCCAATATACTACAAAATGCTTGCGCTGATCCCAGTTGAGGGAAGGCATTGATAAGAGGGTGGACAGAAACGTAGCCGGTAGGAAGGCCATAGTGAGAATCGCAATGGTTTTCATGGCTGCGTGTTACGATCCAATCGTTGAGCCTCATGTAAGCTAGATAGATTGACCAATCAGATAGGACCCGGGGTCCCGAGTCTACGGGACCACGGGACGGACCCGATGTCCCGGGCTTTCGGGACCACGGGACGGGGTTGAAGACCAGTATATAAGAAGGCCTCCCGGCCTTCGTTATACCTGGTTCTTCAGCAAGCAATAGCTATCACAACCTACCAGTACCTTTTGGCTACTACTCCGTTACTCTATTGTTCTATCCCAGCGATAATACTCCTGTGCTTGTAACGGTTCGTCACACTGCGCTGTCTTGATGAGCCGCTTGAGCAAGGTCAGGGGTGGCTTTCGCCGTTTCAATATTTTGTATAGCGTCCATTTGGTTCAAATAATGAGTCCTCTGTTTAGTGGATTGAATTGGATCAGTATGGTAAATCAAATACACGTATCGTGTTCGTGACATCTACATCATACAGTTTCCAAGGGGAGTCTTACCATCGATAAGTAACTGTTAATCCGCATCTCAACAAATGTAAGTACCTCCCTCAACCCTTCTAGTTCCTGTCGGAGTTTATAGAGTGAACCAAATATGCTTTCGTTGCTTCGGCAGACATTGTCGGATTTCGCCGTGTCAGGGAGCTCCTTTGCCATGACCACCAAATGGCGCCACAGTGACTCGATGGTGTTAAGCTCCATCTTTTCTGTTTCCAGCTCGTTTGGGGTATTTTGTTGAGTAAATTGAACCATAAGTTCACGATCGACTTCGTGCTTTTTGGGCGTCTCGTCTGCGTGGTCTGCCGACTCGTCTCTGGACAACCATCTCATGGCCCGCCCGTCGACAAGGCCAATGCGCCCCCGATACTCTTCCAGAGCATATACCGAGATAACAAATTGCAGGTAGAGTGGTGAATGCGAATCTTCTTTAAAGGCTTTCAAGAACTTCATAGCATCAGTCACCGGTGATTGGTCGGGGATGTAATAGGGCAGGTGAACATGTTCCTCAAGAAACGACCCTTTCTGCAGCACTCGGTCAGATACGGATATCCAGTTCATGAACGAATGCGGAGAGATCGGTAAGAAGAATACATCTTGTGTCGAATTCAGGGGACTTTTCGTGCTGACGTATGGACCATATATACTTGATGGAGCGGGTGGCCAGGTAACCAGAGACACCTTCGTTGTCGACAGTCCGGCCCAAAAGCTCGGAGCCTCGGAGCATCCCATAAGAACCATCTTCCCCAGTCGAGGATGAGGATCAAGAGCCTTCCACAAGCGACTAAAGTTACCCGATGAGATGTCGACATACTGGCGGCCCAAGCTATCTATGTTCTCGTCTTTAAGTTGAGCGAATGCAATTTTGACGCCCGTATTTGTAAATCGTGAAGGTTTAGAGCCGGGAGGTAGAAGTTTATTGAAGGAATAGCCGCGTTGGACGTACCCTGCCAGGAAGAATGCTGCTCTGATTTCTGGTGAGAAACGGTACTCAGCACCTGGTCCATGGGGATTCGGCCATATCTGTGCGACGGCGCAGGGAACGATGGGAATCTCGATTAATCTACCCCTTTCTGTCCAGTGGGAGGTACATTTGGCAGTCACTCGGCCATACACCCAATCTGGTCCGGTCTTGAACATCATACGTTCTCCATCCTTATCGTTACAGAGTTTCCGAAGGCCGTCCATACCTCTAGCCACAATGCAAAAGTGGAGAAGCGTCGTTGATGCCGTGAAGTTTTGCGCGGAGATCGGACCGGGTTGATGGTAACAGACTGGAGGAGATGAAGACGGATTCGGCGTTCTTGCATGGGAGAGGAGCCAAGTTTCAAATACCTTCATCGAGCGGTCAAGGCAGCAACGGCCACGGTCTTATCAGATTGGGAGCTTCCACCTTGATGTTGGCACCCGGCCCGTCTGGCTTAAGGGCAGCTGCTTCCGCTCCTCGGAGAAAACCCCCGCGGTCCGATGATTGTCTCATCGCCCTCCTTAGTTTGCATCTGCGTGTTGCAGGTAGAAAGAGCGAGGCCAGAATGAGAAGGCACAGTTCAGGACTGATTCAAGAAGAAGGCATCGGATACCACGACGCAGATAACCGCAGGTCCAATCGAGAGCAACGTACCCCTCATTTCACGGCGAAAGAACGAGCATGCAAAGTGGTTTCTGCGACAAAATTGCAGCTGTTACATGCAGAACGCACAGTGCTTCCATTCTTGTTTACAGTGCTCAACCTTTTCCCCCAGCAGCCACCACAGGACACCGAGGTCGCGCACAAACTTGACCAAAACACCATGCCCAGCATCACCACGTCAACATCCCAACATCGGCCTGAGACATTATCAGCACCATCAGCACCGCCGGCATCCCGACTCCATTTTGAGACCATCCAAACCATTGCCAATGCGAACAGCATCACCTTCCATATTCCCTTCGTCCAGACCTCAATTGCGCCTCCAGCCTCCCATCAACGCCCATCACAGTAACCACCCCATGTACAGTCACAGAATGTCAACCACAACCACCACCACCCCCTCTAAACCTTAACAGCATAAACCCCCTGACCCCCACTGACATATACAACCCCCTTATCCCCCTCCCCCCTGCCCACCGCACAGCTCGTACTCCCACTCACCGTCGCCACCGTTTTCGGACTCGGCTTCTGCTGACTGGTATCCACCTCCACAAGACTATTCTTCCCATTAGTAGCCACATACACCTTCATGCTCCCCTCGCCTGGTCCAAAGCAGAGATCATCCCCCATCAAGTTCGTCCAAAGCGTCGTCACTGACCCAACAGCCTGGCCAGTGACGGGGTCAAGGGTAAGCCGATGGAACGAGTTCTTGAAGATATTCGTGTACCACAGTGTGCTGTCTGATGAACGATACCGCAACCCGTCGATACCGAACGGGATGCTCCCGCTAGGAGCCATGGTAGCGTCCTTGATAACCTGCTCATACGTCCCCTTATTCACGTCCAACCTGAACACCACGCCTTTACCCGCATCTCCCACCAGCACCGACTCATTAGTAAAGGTACTCAAACCATTCAGATTCCCCGCCTCAGTAATCGTCTTGATCAGCGCGCTCTTCGGCGGAGTGGAAGTGAAATCCACGCGGTAGATGCCCTTCCCGCCAATGACGGCGAATAAATCGGGAGCGTACTCGACTATGCCTGACAAGCCGGAGGCGCCGGAGATGGTCAGGGCTGTGGAAGAGGTTTTGGCGACGGGGTCGATGGAGATTAGAGCGGCGGAGTTCATGTTTGTTGCGAGGATTTGGCCTGTGGAGCGGACGGCGAGGTTTTCGATGGAGGAGAGGCGGATGATTTGGCTTGCTGTTGCTTGACGAGGTGCGACGGGGGTGCCGGGGAGGGGGGTGGCCAGACCCAGAGGGACGAGGCTGAGGGCCTGGATGAGGAAGGTGGTGGAGAGCATCATGAATGAGTGATGACTGTGATGTGATGATGGTGAAGGGTGAGGTGGTTTGGTGTTCCAGGTGAGTTTGGAACCCTTACAATTCTTCGAGGTGAGTGATGGGGTCAAAGAGGTGATTGTTCACTCGCCGTTTGCGCTTCCAGTTCCAGAACTGGACTTCTCCATCCGTGACAGGATGCCGGGAAAGAAGCAGTCATATGCCCCCTTCCGGTCACACGCAGAAAAAATCTGCACGCCGAACCGCGTCGTCAACAGCACAATATCCAGATGGTATTCCCTATGGGACATCGTATTTGTACGTCTTGGCAGACATTTGGCTCATTACCCCTAAAAATTGGAGCCGCACTACCACACGGGATCCGGGGTAAGAGGCTAAATGCCGGGTCTAAGATCAACACCCGAGGCCAGAACAGTCTCTTCTCGGTTTTGCCCTGCCATCTCCTGCCGTGGCCACCAGCGCTGGGTATTACCGTATTAGCCGGGTGATTGTCCTGGGGCGGCATAAGAAGCGGTGATATGAACAACCACTTTGAGCGTCTCCCGGGGCGGCATAACTCATGGTGATATGAACAACCACTTAACCTGCGACTGGCTGTTAGGATTACCAGTGATCATCGTATGATACCTGGAACCTACCTGTCACCTACTCGGGGACGGGAAGACAACTTGTAACCGGCCCCGAAATGGCAGCATAAAGATCGATATGCAGCGTACCTCTATACAGCGGAGGTCTCTCCGAGACTAGATGACTTTCTGTCATTCATACCTAGTGTAGATTGACGCCTAGCCGGTTGCCGGGACCACCGGGACCACTTTTCAACTTCCGGGCCTCTCGAAGGCAGCTAGCTCTCTTTGAAACCCTCGTTCCATCAGCAAAGGGACATTGATGTTATGATGTGTTCGGTTCCAACTCGGAGTACTGTACCACCTGCGTGTAAGTTTCTCTGCCAGTTTGCTTGCTTGCTTGCTTCTTCGAAGCACCCTTGGACTGTTGAATTACCAATCCCTCTTCCTCTTGGCCGCTTGGCGAGAATAGCCGCCCCGACAAACTTGATGATCATAAACGGCATTTTGTGGCACCTGCCAAGTAGAGTCTGGTAACTACGTATCAGGCCTGCTTTTACTTGTTTTATCTTCAATTGGGCAGATATGCCTTGGCCTGACCAGGCTCGTGAAAGCTTGTGACAGAGCCTCATCTCCACCTCCTTAGACCCATGTGCCCATCTCATCATCTCCTCATCTCATCAACCCCCATCCATGTCCATCCACCCCAGGAAACCTCTCAAGTCAGACTGCCGAGTCCCAAATGACCACCCAAACCCCAGATCCAAGAGACTGGTACTGGTACTGGTACTAGTAACGGGCAGCTGTGATTTGTGAATCAAGGTAGTCCTCTCAGACAAGGCCCCTTAACCTCTTAGGTAAGGTATCTTGTATCTCGCCTCTGGCGTATGACTGATGGTGAGACAAATCGAGATCTCCTTTGGCTGTCCTTACTGTCGGTATCGGTGTCACCAGCGGTGTAACTTGTCTTGCCTCCCGGCCTCGCCTACACCTTCCTCTCCTGTCCTGTCAAATGTCAAATCCCAGGTCCAGACTCTCGAATCTCGATACCCTGCCCCTGTCCAGGGAAATGCGGCTCTTCAGTCGGTGTCGCCACATGCAGCGATCCTGGAGACCCTTTCTTCGCAAGGGGCTAGTCATGTCGTACAAGACTAACTGAACTGAACTCCGTTGGGAATTCCACTTACATGCTCAGGCCAAGATGATTGGTTAGTTCCTCCCCTTTTCTCGCGTGCATCTCTCGAGTCTTGATGCCCGCTCCGTGGCAGTGGAGCAAACATTTCCAACCTGCAAGTTCCAACAGACTGGTTCGTTCGCCTGGAAGCGCACTGTACGATGGCGTTTGCCCCCAGCCTGACTGCCCCCCAGCTTGCCTAACCAGCATGAGCCCTGTCTGCCTTCCCTACAGTGTTGAGTGTACCTTAGAAGAAGTGGGGCATTCCCGAGCACTTGCTTGCGGCTTGGACAGATTTTCTGACAATGTTTCCGAGCTGTGTCGGATGCTTGCTTTTCAGCATCTGCTTCTTCTTTTTTTTTCCTGGGGAGTAATTGTATGGATGGGGTTAAGCACCAAAAATCTGCCGGCATCTCCGACGCTAGTTTTAGTAAGTACTGTTGTATAACTGCAGGTATGCAGAATGTGTGCAGGATACGGTGCATGCGTAAATATTGCTGCCGAAACAGTTACTGAAATGGGAACGACGAGAAGATTGAGAGAGATGAGAGAGAGATATCTCCAGGAAGTTCGATAGGTAGGTATTAATGAGTACATACTTTTGCATTAGTGGAAGAACTATCGCGATTCGATGCTCTCACGTAGAAAAGAAAGACATTACTTCTGTTTCCGTCGTCGGCATCGTGAGCTTTCTTTCCATCGACTTCCGTCCGTCCACCCCTTGAAAGACAGAGAGATGGCCAAACGCTAGAGTTCAGTGAGGTAGAGTCCTGCGATATAAACAAAGGGCAGGTAGATGATGATGATGATGATATTACATATACAACGCGGGCTCGCTCGCTGATAGCTAGCTCTCTGAACTCAAATGCAATAAGACCTGTTGTGTGGTGTGATGAAAGAAGCATTGTAAACGCCCGTCGCCTGTTGCCTGTCGCCTGTTGCCTGTCGCCTGTCGCCTGTCGCCTGTCGCCTGTCGCCTGCTGGTATGAGGAACCGTAGCCTTGAGATATCGAAATCGGCCCTAGGAAAAACAGAAGAAAAAGAAAATCGCTTCCCAACATCAGTCGCCATCGCTTCTTTAGTATCCAAACATTCAAATCCCCATATATGCGCCGTGAACCCCATTTCTCATCCGTTTCCTTTCTCCTTTCATATCCAAAAACTCCTAGATGAGATCACCAAACAGTATCAAAGAAATGAAGTCTGAAACTCCAAATGCATCGGCATTCCTCCCGCGCCGATGGGCATCCCGTTCGCACCATACCCTCCATGCCCGCCGTGTCCGTGTCCATGCGCATGTCCACTTGCCTCCCCATTACCTCCCTCCTCATCGTAAAAGTGCTGCGCGAACTGCACCTGCCCATTCTCATCCATCCACATCGTTGGCCCATGGGGTGCTATCGATGATGATAGCAAATGCAACCCTCGACACTGGTTCGCCACGCCCTGCTTCACCAGATTCGTGATGCACCTCTCGCTTCCATCAAACACATCATAGGGGTAGATGACACTACGCTCGCTGACAAGCTTGCTTTGATCGAATGCTCCCCTTTCCAGCAACAGTACCGCACACCGTAGGTATCGAGCCTCCATGTACACATCGGTCCTAACATCCGTCCTTTGAATGGCGTATTTGATGAGTTGTAGGGGAGTGTTGCCGCAGTTGTTCATCACGTTCACCTGTGCACCATGCGAAACAATGAACTTGACAGCAGCGACGATGCCAAACTCAGCGGCGTAGTGCAGCGCCGAGTTACCCTCGGTGTCGCGCTCGTTGAGAAGGGCTTCGATGTCCTGCTTGGTGGTCTTGGGGCCGATGCCTAGAAGGGTTTCGAGGCGCTGATCGAGGTTTGCTTCGCCCCCGTTCTTCTCAGAGTCCCGGCCGGAGGCGATCTTGCACAAGAGGCGCATGACAGGCGTGCGTTTGATGCATTGGGCGCTGCTGGCGGTGCTGCCACGACTCGAGCGGCCTGTGTAACCGCTGCCGCGCCAGCTGTCGGAGTCAGAGGTCATGGTAATGCGGGTGGAGTTGTTGCAGGAGGAATCCCCCATGAACTCGGGGAGATAGCGCCGGACGAACTCTTGCTCGTCGCCGAAGATGCGGTGGAGTTTGGGCGATTGAAAGGAGAGATTCTTGCGGATGCAGTGCCATAGTCGCTCGTCAGCCGAGCACTTATTGGCGACAAGGAAACGGGCCGTCCCGTGACCGACTTCGCGGAAGAGACAATGGAGGATCTCTATAGGGAAGGTCTTTTTTGGGACCAGATGTTGCAGAAATGTTCGCTTTTCGACGTCTCGCTGGCAAAAGTCGAAGCCGCGCGACCGTAGATGTCGGACGAGGTTGATGAAGGATGCCGGCCTTAGCTTGGGGTGGCTTGGGGGTTCATAAATGTGGAGAAAGGTCTCTCCACGAATGTTAACTGCCTGGATATCATCAGTGTGTCGTAAAAGCAACAGCAAAATCGAAACACGGGCGCCCCATCGGGCAGCGACGTGCAGAAGAATGTTGCCATATCTGTCCACCATGTTGGCCTCCTCGTCGGTAACAGTAAACTTGCGAAAAGCATGACCTTCGGTCTCTTGGGCTTCAATGGCCTTGGATAGCCTTTCATGCACACAGGGAGGAGAGCTGGTTGCAAGGCGAATAGAGCAGCACATAGCAAGCAACGCATTGTTCAACTCCTCCGTCTTGGGGTTGACTGAAGAGTATTTCTTCTTGAACAAAGGATTCTGTAGCGCCTTGGCTGCCTTTGTTTTGGTTGCTGATGCCGATGGCTTGTTCTCCTCCAGCAGAGAAAGAAAATCATCCCGACTCAACTTGCTGAGGGCAACGGTGGGACCGTTCTCGCTATGGCCAACCCCCTTGGAAGATGCTGATGACGAAGAACGAGCCAGACTGGAAATGCCCGACGAGATGCTCGAGAGTACCGATGCCCATGACCGCCTCTTGATTGCTGACCTAAGGGACTCGGAAGCTGACTTGAGAGAGCTTGACATGGACTTTTCGGACCTTACTGGTGACCTCTCCCGATGTGAAGGAGCCCCATGGGAGGTGTGCGAAGTCTCCGGTGAGTTGACGGGTGACTGGTGAAGCTGACATGAGGCATGGGATGCATGCGAGGTTTCGGGGCTTGCCGTGGCCGACTCGGATCGCAAGGCTTGTGGTGGTGATCGGGCGGGTTCCTGACGGCCCCGGTGGTGGTGGATGTGTTGATTACCGAGAGAGTCTCCATCCAAGTTCATGATGATATCAGAACCCATGCCCCCCATGTCCACCATACCCACTTCCATGCGACCGCCCATGAGACCCGTCGGCGATCTCCACTCTGTGTCGGCGGCGTGGCGCTGGTCTGGGTCGCCGCCTCGCGTCCTGTGATCTCGGTTCTTCCTCCTCATCCTCCTCTCGGCCCTAACTGATCTGAGAAAGCGCACTCGAACCAACATGGAGGCAAGGTCCCTGGGCCGCCAGTCATCGATGCGACGGTCCGGTAATAGATTTTTAAGGTGCTTGTGAGAATTTCGTTGCCTGTGAAACGCGACGATCTTTGGGTCAGCAATTCGGGGCCTGGGTGGTGATCGCCGTCACACATGGTTACTGCAATATCACGGAAAAAAGATGATCGCACCTTGGGTCAAAAGTGCCATCCTTTAGCCTCTCAAGAATGCGCACCAGGGGCAGGCGCTCGCTTTGTGTGCAGACATAGAGGCGCAACAGCTTTCGCTGTTTTGAGGGTGGCCATGGCTTCTCGCGTCTTCCGCGGCGAGGATACTTACCGGCGCCCGGAGGCGACGAAGTGCTCTGTGTGGTTGCGACTCGTACTTCCATCACACCAACCGGTCACACACTACACACACTATGAGAGCAGAGCGGGCGTCGCTGTTGTGGTTGATGAGTGGGTAGCCGACATGGACGGGTGCAGACGGCAGAGCGGGGTGTGTTGTTTGTTTGTCTGAATGTGGTGTATTCAGTAGTGACGACAGCTCCACTGGTGCGACAGATGATGCTGTTGTGGCTGTTGTTGATGATGAAGAAGATGATGATGATGATGATGGTGTCGATGTTGTCGTTCAACCCTTTGCGACACAAGAGGCAAGAACGAGCGAATGACAATGGGGGGTTTTCGGGAGGGGAGCCGGCAGAGGTTTAAGAAGGAGGTTCCGATTTCTGTTGACAGCCCAAAGTGTGGTCGAGTACGCCAGTGTGGTCCAGTGTAGCGACGGTAGCGTTTCGCTTGGCTTGGCTCTTTTTCCAGGTTGTGTTGCCCCCTGTTCGGGATTGCTCCCGATATGTCTTGGTGTAGGGCAATGGTGCGTGTTCGCCGGTGGGTGTTCCGTGGGTTTAGTACTCGGGTCGTCTGCTCCTCTAATAACTCGGTGCAGTAGCGTTGGACAGCAATGGCATCCACCAGCAGGATTCTCTCTGGTGTTTTGAATCCTAGCCTGTTTTTGTGTTTTCTAGAAAGCCGGCAAGTCGTCTGTCAGACAGACGGAGTGTGCAAAAGACTGCGTCCAAATCTACTAGCAGTGCATGGCGTCAAAGAGACAAGCCGTCTCGACATCGGTACGGTGTTGCGGGTTTGTCATGTTGTCTTGTGGTGTCCCAGGCCTGCCAGGCAGCCAATAACGGGGCTAGGGGGGCGAGGTATGGCTAGGGTCCCAGCATGCCAGTGGGACATGGACATAGTGAAAAGACGCTAATATCGGCGCGGTTGCTAGTTCATGATACAGCCCATGGAACATGTTAGTTCAGGTCCTTTTCCAATCCTGGCGGAGACCGTGTTAGTGTGGTGTAGAATAGTGGCAGGACAGCAGAATCATGGTACGTATGCAGGTCTGTATCAAGTAACGGCCGGTAGGACAGCCGTGGGTAGGCTAATTTGGGCGTAGGCCGCCATTCGCGAGCTGGCCGTTAACCGAGTTCTGGTTCGGTTGTCTCTTGGTCTCCTCTTGAAATTATATTCCTCCACATTGTATGTGTTTGTGTGTGAGTACGTATGTGGCACCCGTTTGAGCGTTTGTACGTGTACGTGCTTCGGCAACATTTTGCTCTTGTTCGTTTGTTTCCGCTGACAGCAGCTTCAAGCGGGGACACATGGGTATGCAGCTCGATTTGGTAACCCCTCGTGGCCTCCGGTACGACCTCCGGATTGCAGAAAGGGAATCGGAATCCATCCAGCTTGTCCAGGGTCTGTTGTCAAGGAGAGGCTGTTGTAATGTATGTACAGTACATTACAGTACAGTGGCCGTTGGCACACAAATAACGGCTTGGTGGAGGTGCCCGTCAAGGTGGAGGTGGAGGGCAACCATGTCGAGCATGTCTCTTGTCTGATGTTCTCTCCGTCTCTCTCCAGTGTGTCTTTTTTTTTTCTGTTGTGTGCTGTGCCGCAGCATCTCCGGCTTGGCAGTCTTGCTTGATTACGACGTTACTGTGGTCGTGGATAGCGAGGATACTGTAGTCTGTAGCGAGGATACCTCTCGCTGGTAGGTAGAGAGCTAGCGGGCAGCTGAATGGATCTGCTTTGGCTGCTGATATCTCTGCTATCTCGAGCTGTTGAAGAAGCGCCAAGCGGTCATTTCCGTAACGACTCCAGTATAGCGACTGAGTTCAAGATTACGGACGGCGCATTGGTCTAGTCAGTCATCAGTTGTCAGCGAGGGGATTCCCAAATGTCTCCGTCGCCTTGTTGATTGGCCGAGCATTCACAAGGCGGGACGACCGTTGGCCTCACCAGGGAATAAAAGGTACTTTTGGCATGTGGTGTAGGTACTTTACTTACCTGTCATCCATCCCCCGATATTGGAACAGAGGAGGGAGGCGAAATCCCACACAATTACCCCAGACTCCTGACTCTGCCTATCCGTGTAAATCAAGGGTGTCGGGTGGTCGAAAGGATTGCGGACGCGGACGGCAGCGGAGCGGGAAGTGGGAGAGGGGATGTCGATGTCGATGTCGATGTCCAGTCCTTGCAGGTTGCAGCAGCGAGGTCCCAGTCCAGCACGGTCCAGGCCCCTGAGAAAGAGCAGAACGGGCGGGCCCTTAATTCGCAAATTGCTGCATTGAAAAGTCCACTGAAAAGGGCAGATGTCTGCAAATGTCCCACTGGTCAAAAACATGCCCGGACTCCGGAGAGGCTTGCGACTGGCTGGCACTTTCCGTAGTAGCTCCCTAGAGGTACACTCCAGTGCTCCCTCATCAGAGATCTTTCAGCGCAGAGGGTTCAGTTCCTTCCACTGCAACATTTCCTGGAGACGAGGTTGAATTGGTGTGTCAGTGCTAAACAAGGGCCATTCTGATTGGCTTGTGATCTCAACCGGTCGATGGCCGGTCACTGTCAATTGTGCGCCCCACAATTTCCCGTCGTTGCCCCTCCTTTTTGGTGTTCTGTGATTGGTTGACGCGATTGCATCTTCAGCAGCCAGTGCTGCGTGGCAGGCACACTTGAGCTTCAATCGCAAGGACAGGGCAACAACGGATCTCACTGGACTTGGTTGTCTCTTTCCTTTCCTTCCCGTTTTGCCGTTGTGAACGTCGTTGACACTGACAGGAGAGGGAAGAACGGTGTTCTCGGTTGCCTAAGGTACCCCAGAGGGCAGCCAGTCTTTCGCTGCTGTTCTTCAACCTCCATCAGATTCTTGGTCAGTCGTCTCATCCCTTTGGCGACATCTTCAAGTTCATCCCAGACAGCATCCTTGACAATAACGTACCCCGTACTAATCACCGCACCCTTGCTCCTCCAACCCCCTGGCCAGAAGCCGTCAATGACACCTCTCTGATCCGAGAACCGAGAATCGAAACCGAGCCCTGTGAGGAATAATCCAGGTACAGTTCCTGTTTTTCTTGTTATTTTTCTTTTTTTCTGTCTTGTCAGATGGTTTCCCGTCCCTCCTTTTCGCCGCATTGTTCTCCTTTTTCAGTCACGGAGCCCGGAACCGCTCAATTGGGATGGGCAATCCGCACCAGCGCTGCAATTCCGGATCTTGTGAGGCACAATCATTCATTCAACAGTCGTCAATCATGACTGAGAAAGCGCTTCCAGAAACCCGAAACCGAAAGTTGTCGATTTCATATCTTCTTTGACCAGGCAGGAAGGGGGAAAGAGATCCTATGATTACATACAGTACAACAACATCGTAACATGATTACAGCGGTGTACGTGTAACGGCGATTGACCACGCCGAGGTCCACGCTTCCAAGTCCATGCCATGCCCCCTTGGCATTTGCTCCCCTTTCCCTTCCGTTGCCCTTCCCCCTCATCTTCCTTCGGCTTCCTCCACATGTTTGCCCGCCTGTCAATGTCGAGCTGTCATTCAGGGCATCATGTCATGTCGGTCTGCTGTCGCTGTCCGTCATTCCCGAGATGGGCCCCTTTCCCGCGCCACGGACAACATCTCGATGGAGGTGGGCGTGGTCTTCGATGCATATTCCTGATTTGACATATTCCCCGATCATCTCTTCCTCATCTGGGAGTCGGGTGCTACCAAACCATGTTATTCTTTGGTCGGTTACCTTGTCTCTATCATCACCAGATTGAGTTTGAAACATAACAATGGAATTATACCAATCTGGCTCCGTTCCTTTCCTGGTATCTCGGAATCATCCCCTGTTCCATCAAATTGCACCAGAAAACCGTCTTATTCTAGGTGCTGAACATGGAGCCTTGCTTGTCTTCCTTGCCCTTTCCTTGCCTTGTCCTGCCATCAAAACGATGGTGCTATGCACCGTACCTGTCAATATCAAGACATGGCCAAGTGGGATCGCTTCTTACCTGGTCCCTCATTTCTTGTGGTCTGCTTCTTCAGTGTCTTGGCCTGTCGCCCTTCCCTCACCTTGAACCCTTCACCGTAGCATCGTGGATGTCCATCCAATGTCGGTTTCGTCACAGTCGCTTGTTCACTCCCGAACCATGGATGAAGTTCAATCACCTTGTCACCCAAGACATTCAGTCACAGTCCCTCACCCACATCCTCACCTCCCTGACTCCCTGTCCTCACCACCGATCGTCAGTGGAACACCACGTTTTTTTCCCACTTCAGTTCTTCTACGTATAAGGGGAAAGATGCGATTGGTTCTTCATACCCCGGATAGTTCTCCAACCGCGTCTTACGGGTATTAGCCCCTTTTCGAACGGAGCATGACGTTACAATTTACCCTCTAACGTTACGCTGCCAACAAGACTTGTCCATCCTTCCATGATTCGTGTTCGTCTATTTCTGCCGTCTTGGGCATCTAGATCGTCAAGAGACAAGGCTCGTCTAATCATACAAAAGCTCTTGGAGTATCACAAGCAGTTCCGGCTTCCGAGTCGGTTGCAGATGGAAAGTTCCACCACAAGCGAAGTCGCCGTTTAAACTTCCACCGGAGCACAACACAGTACACATCACCCCTTGAAAGTTTGTTAGCGTGGTTCTCGTGACAGGGGTCTGCAAAACTTCACAACAAAACG